GTCAGCATATTGTGCATCTCTTATAATTGACTGTTTTCATTAAATCCTATTTTGTATGCATAAATCAAACCCTTAGGTTAAAGTCGATGCAAAATGGTTAAAGTCAATTAGTCGAAAGCTTGGATCAATAAACTCATGAATGAATAATTTTAATCAGATTGACTATCATTCAATCATGAACATTTCACTTTTCTCAAAATTTCAATTATGGAAGTGTATTCAAATCACGGTTATGTGTGATTTGAATCATGACATGGATGTAAAAATTCAAGATCTACCTCTGTTAGAGTGATCTAAATCACAAGTTTCCATGATTCGAATCAAGCACGTGTTAATTGGAATCACATAAAAGGCTCATTTGAATCATGGTTGAGATTTGATTTTCGGATATCGCTTCTGGTTGAGTGACTCGAATAATGAGTTTCTTTGACTCGAATCACTAACTCGAATTAAATGTGCAAAATATGGGTTTTAAGTTCTTAATTCAAATCATTTCCTTATTCCTTGAATCATAAATTTTACTTTTAACTAGAATTAAAAGGGTCATTTTATTTATTTTTGGTACATAATCTCCAACACATATAAATAAAACTCTCTCTTTCTCTCTCTCTCTCTCTCTCTCTCTCTCTCTCTATATATATATATATATATATATATATATATATATATATATATATATATATATATATATATATATATATATATATATATATATATATATATATATATATATATATATATATATATATATATATATATATATATATATATATATATATATATATATATATATATATATATATATATATATATAAAATGTTATTTTTATGCGAGAATATGAGAATGAATCTGAACTATTAGATTTAAAAAAAAAGGGTGAGAGGAGAGAGAATATTAATTGTCAAAAATATAGTATTTTAATTTAATTCATTTATTTAAATAATGGAAGAGAGAGAAAATAAAAAATGACACATCATCTCACTCATTTATTTTAAATCTAATATATATATATATATATATATATATATATATATATATATATATATATATATATATATATATATATATATATATATATATATATATATATATATATATATATATATATATATATATATATATATATATATATAAATATTCGAAACAAGTTTTTAGAGAAAACTTTTCACAAATTTAGATTGCAGATGATTTTGTCATTCTTAACCTTTAGCAAATTACTATTCTTGAGTAACCGTTCAAAACTTCGAGGGAATGTATGCTTTAGTGAGATGAGGGTCATTAGGTATTATCATTTTGTGAATTTTTAAGATTTCAAAGCAATAATTAAATTGTGGTTGTATTGTTCGGATTGAGAATCCAAAAAATGAAAAAGAAATGTGTTCTTCTCCATTTAAGACTTTGGCAGGATTTAACGACGGTTTTTATGGACAAAGTTGGGAGTTTTTGGTTTCTTCATTAAGATCAAAAGCTCAACCAAGGGATTTGTGGTAGGGTTGAGTGAAGTCACTGCAAATAAAGGCTTGAAGCGAATTTTGAGTTTCAGAAGATCTTGAGTTTAGGAAGGTGAGTTGTTGCAAGATCAAGTGAATATCTTGTGGAATTTTTCCTCGTGAGTTGTATACATCAAAAGAAGGAAATTTTCGATTGAAGTTGCTTATTGTATTTTAAATTTTAACATTATTTGATTTCTTGATTGTATTAAAAACACATGTTTTAAAATTTGTCAAATAGTTGAAGACTGCGAATTTTTAATGGTTCGCCATTGGAGATTGGTTTAGGCGTAAAACGAGGATGATCGCGTTGAACCAATATAAAAGTTGGTGCACATTTCTCTTTTCCAATTCAATTAAACGTGGTATATTTAAATTGAGAAATTAACCAAAACACTTAAGGTCGATTTGGTTGAGGGTTTTTGGATGGGACGAGAGAGAAATTTTAAAATGAAGAGTGTTTGGTTCAATATGTTAGGAGAGAAGAAGAAGAAAGATGAGGAATAAAAATCTCTCGTAAAGTGATTTGTTGTTCCCTCGAATTAGGGTTTTTCGAAGGGGAAGGAAGAAATGCTAAAATATAGTTATTATATTGACGAAATTAATCTGTCATGTCATATCAATAATTTAAAATTTACAGTGTGATGTGACGGGGTACATGATGATGATTGGTTAACAGTGTAATTTTTTTACCCTGTCAATGCATATTAATTAAACTTTTTTCTTTATCTTTTTTGATATTGGAGATTTCTCTTTTTGTGGTTAAAAATTTGCTCCTACCTCAAGTCAACCTCATTTTATTTTTTAAATCGTGATGCCACATTTTAATTATCTTAACATTTTTCTTTATGTTTTATTATATTAATAAAATATATATTATTATCGTTATCTTTTTATACATTATTTTATAATATTCTCTCATTGAATACTTACATTTCGATAATAAATTTATGATTGAATTATAAACGATAAATATCATGAATTTTATTGTAAAATTACAAGAATAAAAAAATAAATTAATTTTAAAATATCTCTCATCCCTTATAAACCAAATATATTTGTAATTAAAATCTCTTACCTCCTCTATCTCTTTCATATTTTGAACCAAATTTATGTTAACCAAATCATTTTCCTCCTATCAAAAATCCATCCTCCCTACTCTCAATTAAACCAAACAAACCCTTAATTAAAAAAAATATATTATTCATCCAAAAATTATTCAAATTAATAACTCTGAAAAATGAAAATGAAAATTTTTACTTTTTTTTAATGTTAACTTTTTGATTTAGTAAAGGATTTTTAATAAAATATCTAGATATTTCATCAAAGTCATAAAAGTTGTAAAAAGAAAAATCAAAGTCATAAAAACTAATAAAATATGATTTTTTAAGGATGTGTTTGTTTGAGTAAAATAAAAAAAGAATGTGTTTTATTGGAGGATTGCAAGAATATTACATTAAATTTTTTTAAATTAAATAAATTAAATAATTTTTTTTTTAAAAAATATTAACTTTCGACCAAACACGTAAGTAAGAATATTATTTTAAAAATAATAATTCTAAAATATGACTTCAAATAATGTTACTTTATAATTTGAAACAAACATATCTAAAATGCAACGAACAACAATCACTATTTAATGAAAATTGATAATCACCAATGATAAAAGATATTTATATTCTTAAGCAACTTGCCCATATTTTGATACTCCTCTTATAAAAGCGGCTACATTTAGTTTCATATAATAATATGTAACCATTAATCATACGAAACTATCTACCATCTATTAAGTTGAGATATACAGATATTTTATTCAAATATCCATTTTCTGAAACTATCTACCATTAGTCATACAAATAATATTTAAATCAATAACCTTTAAATTTGGTACCGAGCATTTTCACAAATTTATTATTATTAATAGTAAGTTTATAAAAAGAAAGTGTAAACTGTAAATAAATATCCTCAAACAACATCACAACATTAAAACCATAAAGGGACACTTATATCACTAACATTAAAACATAACATTAAGACATTTCCCTTTTTAAAATGTACCATACTAATCACACTAATTACTCATATTTATTTTATAATTAGTTAAATATTTTTTTGGAAAAAAATACAATATATAATTAAATATTAAAATTCTAAAATACATTAAATTATCTCACGTAAATTATAAAAATTAACCATATATATTGCTTAAAAAATATGATCAACAAAGTAAATTTTTCGATTTAATAATCACATAAACTAAAAAATGTTTGTCCTTAAAACATTTAAAAATTCCCTATTCTTGAACAACTATCTCATATTTTAAATAATTTTTCCCAAATTATCACCATCCATCACATTTATATCAAAATATTATTTATATAATTTTTATGTGAAATTATCTACCATATACTAATAACTAAATAGTTAAAATTAAAAATAGTTTCTAAATGGCTTGCACTATACAAATCTATTACTATTAATTAGTTTTTATTACCAAATAATACGTTTATAATCAAAAAGACATTATTTAAGATACAAAAAAGAAAATCTAGAAACAATTTTACAATAATAAATTAATTATTAATATTCATAAAAAAAGAAAATGCAGATATCGTCACAATTATAAATTTATAATAATTTATATGAAATCATCTATCATCAAATAATAATATTTAGATAGCAAAAACTAAAAATAATTTTTGAAAAAAATTATCTACCATATTAATAAATAAATAAAATAAAAAATAATTTCCAAATACCTTACTGTATCATGCACTTTACAGAACTATTACTATTAATTATTATTTTTAATATTAAATAATATGTTTATAATTTTGAAATAATTTATATGAAATTATCTACTATATAATAATAAGATAGTGAGAATGAAAAATAATTTTTGAAAAAATTATCTATTATATATTAATAAATAAATAATAAAATTAATATTATCATGTGTCATACACTTCATGAATTAATTATTCAAAAATTATTAAACAAAATATGTCGTACACTTCATAAATTTATTATTGAATAATTAAATGTAACCTCGTGCATTTTACCAATCTATTTTTATTAATTATTTTTTAATACTAAATAATAAATTTATAGTTAAAAAACTACTAAAGCATAAAAATAAATTTGGAGACAATTTTAAAATAATAAATAAATTAGTAATAATCATCCAAAAAAAGAAAATGCTGATATTGTTGTAATTGTAAATTTGCAATAAGAAACAAAATAGTTATTATATTTTGTTTTTTATTTTGTCTTTTTTTGCTCACGTAGTAGTTCCCTCCACATCTATCCGAAACAAAATTCCCTCCCTCTTCCCTCGTTTTCTGCTTTCGCCTTCTCTACGCCCTAAACTCTCTCGTTCCCCCACTTTCTCTCTCTAAACCCCACTTTCTCTCTCTAAAACCCTACTTCCCTCCGATCGTTTCCCATTTCCCTATAACTTCCACTCCAATTCCGATTTCCCGCTGAAACCGCTGCTAGTTTTTCAGGTCAATGTCTGGTGGTGGCGCTGGAGCTTCTGACCGTGGCTCGCCGATGCCGAGGGAGACTGCCGGAGCACCTAGTAGGCCGCCGTTGAAGCGTCATCTTGCGTTTGTCTCGACGAAGCCACCATTTGCACCGTTGGATGAGTATCACAGTTTTGCCGCCGTCGATTCTAGGAAAGTCGCCGATCAAGTGACTGAAGCAGTTGTTATCAGATCTCCGGTGAGTTATTTCTGTTAGTCTTTCTGTTCTTAGATTTTGCTTCGCAATTGAGTTTGTTTATTTTGCATCTTCGGAATCGTGAACGATAGTTTTATCTTGCTGTGTTTGTGATGTTTGTCTCGTGATTATTTTTTCTTTTTCTGGAATTAGTTGGATTCGTGTTCATGTGCTTTTGATTTTGGTTTATCGAAGTGAAATTTTGATTCCATATTTAGTTGATTTTTTAATTAATTTCACGTGTAAAAGTCGGAAAAACTTCCCAGCCAACACCGGATCCAAACTCAATTTGGTTAATCAGAATTAGAGGTCTTTTATATGGCTTTGAACTTTCTCTAGTATGGTAATTCTGTGCAAAAATGTGTCAAAAGCACTTTTAGTGTATAAGATTGTTGTACATTGGCATGTCCATTTGCAGTCTTGCTCTTGAACACATGTTTAAACTCTTTAACTGATATAAATTTTTTGCTATGTGTAGTTCTCTGTAGCACCGACACCTCTGAGAAAAGGTGTGCCGGTGTCCAAAACCGACACCGGCAATCGTGCTTATGTTTAATTTATTCTTTTTTTTTAAATTTTTACCAGTGTCGATGCGTAAGTGTTGGTGTTTGTGTTTGCGGTCTCCGTGCTTCATTCATTTAAGTCTGAGTGGCATTGTAATGCTAACTCAACAACTTTTTTCATTCATGGCTTAATATGATGAAATTGAATTGCTTAATGTTATAAATTTGTAATTGTATATTATTCAAATATCAAATGATGAATTGCTACTTTTGCTTGGTTGATTGCATTATATCACCTCAATCCACCTATATAAGAATTTATGCACGTATCTTCGGTCATCTCTTTTTGTTTATGAACATGATGGTGGAGCCAGGTCATAAAGAGGAAGAATGGAATGAATGAAAGTGAAGGAGAATCACAAAAGTGGACTAACAGCCCTGGATACACTAATGTAATCAATAGCCCCTTTAAAACTCCGTTATCTGCAAAAGATGGAAGGACAAACAAGTCAAGGGTTTCCAAAGAAGGCAGATCATGTCCTCCAACACCCATCTCTAATGCTGGTCAGAAATTCTTCCCATTATTTTCCAGTTGGTTTAAGTTCACTATTCCCCCATTTGAAAAGTTTTTACTACTTGGAAACAGCTTATGATCTAATTTTAATTTGCTTCTTCCTTGTTGTGCCCCAACTTACAGTTTCTAATGACATGCAGGCTCCCCTTCCCCTCTTACCCCTGCTGGTAGCTGTCGTTATGACAGTTCCTTAGGTAATTTTGGAAGCAAATTTAATCAACAAGCTATTCTCATTTTGCCTTTCTGATGTGTACGACTACTGTTGTTACTTCTACAAGAATAAACATGACAAAATTGTACCAAAAATTCACAGGTCTCTTGACAAAAAAGTTCATCAATTTGATCAAGCGTGCAGAGGATGGCATTCTTGACCTAAATAAAGCAGCAGAAACTTTGGAGGTCCTTTTTTTATACAAAATATTATGATCAAAATATCTGTTACTTTTTCTTTCTGTATCCTGTATGTACTTAAAATCTCCTTTATTATAGGTGCAAAAGAGGAGGATATATGACATAACTAATGTTTTGGAAGGCATTGGTCTCATCGAAAAGAATCTCAAGAACAGAATACATTGGAAGTAATATATGATACACTCTTTTGTTATTTTTCCAAAATATATACATTTTCTCTATTGTTTAGCTTAAAGTTTAGATAAATGTGTGTTAAAACAAAATTCTTACATCAAATCTTGTGGCATGCAGAGGAATCGAATCTTCTACGCCTGGTAATATGGATGGTGATATCTCTATGCTTAAGGTAAGTGATATAGATGTTTTCTTGGGACCTGTTGAAACAAGGAACTAATTGTTATATTAGACATGGCTCATGAATATTCGTTTACATCTAAAATGTCTATCTAAAATGTCTATTTGCTGTGCATAACATTTACTGGCTCCATACTCTTGTTGGTCGTGTTCTATGTTTGTACATGGTTGATGCTTTTGATATTAGAAAGGATTAGTAATGAAGGATAGCATCAATCTGCTGTGACAAAGGCAGATATTTGACTTAGTGGCCCTAGAAACACCATTTGAGAGAGAAGCTGTATCTGAAACTGTAATGAAATAACTGTCCCTAGCTCACCAAGGCTCAAGACTTTTCTGTTTTAACGAAGAGTTCTAGAATACTCTACAACTCGGCAACTTGTGATATAGTGACAACAGACACATGCTGATGGAAACTCCTTACACTAAATGCCGATGCTCAGTGTAAACCAGGTGCATTACTTGCGGCCGCATTTCACACCAGAATTGCTCAACTGCAGCTGCATAAAGGGTTTGTGTGCATGGGCCCATCCATGTTTTCCACAACTTGCTCTTTTCCTGCTATGAACTGGAAGTTTTTATCCAAGACCTTGTGTTTTCCGGTTAGAATCTCATAAACTCATTGGCAAAGGAGAAATGTAGAAGAAGGATGCTGCAAGAAGAAATGAGGGAGGATAAGAAGGTTTTAGCTGTTTTATCTTTATCAAGAAGGTGGCAATTTTTTGGTTAACAATAGGAAACATTTTAAATTTACAGTTTCCAATATTGGACTTTTTGGAAGTCCAATGATGTACCACACTCCCCTGCCTTTTTTATTCCTACACCCCCTTTCAATGATTATGAAAAACAACTAAAAGTCCTCTCCCCCTTCTTTGCAGTATTGGCTATCCGACTACCACTCTACTGCTATCATGTTTTAGGGCCTGCTGCTCTGCGCTGCTATCTAGTTGAAGACCATAAAAACTCATAGGCTAGTATTGGTTTTAGGATCCCTTTATTCGGATACTTCATGTTATCATATGCTTATAAGGTGCCTCATCTATCTTACTATCACGTGTCGAGAGGTCACATACTCAATGCATTTTCTAAGCCAGTTCATGCAATAACCATGACATGGGCATTGTAATGCTACTATGTGTGTTTTTTGATATTTAAAATCCTTATTTGCTCGATGGATTATCTTGCTAGAGGAGAATGAACCTTATTGCATATTGTGAAGCAAATTGGACTTCTTGACCGTTAACCCAAAAGTCAGTGTCATGTAACTTGTAAAACTTGGCCCAACTCACGTATCTTGAAATACTAAAAAGAAGACTATTGTGTCTAGATCCTCTAGTGAAGCTGGGCATTGTGCCATGGTATACGCCATTAGTGAAATCTTGTGCCTGTGATGCTTGCTTCCATATTCAGTATTCACAATTCAATTTTGAATCTCCTATGATCCTTGCATCTAATCTGTTTTTTCACGAGAATCAAAGACAAATAGATTGTCATTTCATCTGTGAGCATATGCAGATGAGAGCAATATCTACTGCTTTTGTCTCAACCAAGCATCAGCAGACTGACATATACACAAAATCATTTGTGGCACAAATAAGTTTCGGAAGTTAACAATCAATTGGGTGTTCATAATCTCCATGCTCTAACATGATGGAAGAATGTGGACAATGTCAATATGCTATGTTGCGATAAGGATAATGTTTTATTTTTATGTTTTCTCATGTTTATAAGGCTGGAGATTTAAAATTAAGTTTGATATTTTGCTAGTAGTTCTACTTGTCAGATTATGTATATCAAGTTGTTACAGACACATGTGGGCATAGGTGATTATGTAACTCTAATCAGTAAAATCATAAATACGGACATTTTATATCAATTAGAATGACTTGATACTTTAGCAGCATAACCTGATATGAAATATTGTTAATCATGTTGCCAGCCTTGTGGTTTTGATTTTGTAGTTATGTTGCAACATATTGTTAATTATTTGTTGGCCTTGTGGCTTTGTTTTGCAGTCAGAAGTTGAAAAGCTTTCTTTGGAAGAGCAGAGTCTTGATGATCAAATAAGGTTATATTGTTGCTTTGCATTACTAAAGGAAGAACTTTACTATTTCTTTACTGTTGTTGGCTAATGCTTTCAAACTATTCTTATATTATGCCCAGGGAAATGCAAGAAAGGCTGAGAAGTTTGAGCGAAGATGAAAATAATCAGAAGTAATCTCCCATTCAGTTCTTAGATTCATTTTTCTGTTGTCCTCTCTTACAGAAGGAAACATATTCTGTTATTGGTAAATGATAAACTTAACATATTTTCAATTACTTTTAGGTTCCTTTTTGTGACCGAGGAAGACATTAAGGGCCTGCCTTGCTTCCAGGTGAGTTCTTTGTTTTTACATTGCACTCCATCCCGTTCCATTGTTATTGGGAACATTGTTGGTTCTCCTTTCATGTTGTTATTGAGGTTTCTCTTTAATTTAATACTTGTGCATTTCTTATAGCAGAATGAAACTTTGATAGCAATCAAAGCTCCACATGGAACCACCTTGGAAGTCCCTGATCCTGAGGAAGTAAGTTTAGGGAATCAACTGATGAAAGGTTCTTGATCTTTGTAAAATTAGTATTTCTGATACATGATAGAAAATTATTGCTTCCATATGCATTAGGCCGTTGACTATCTACAGAGGAGATATAGAATCATTCTTAGGAGCACAATGGGTCCCATCGATGTCTACCTTATCAGGTATATTACCTTGGCTATTTATTTATTTATTTATGGGGATTGCTAATGTACTCCCACTTAAAGTTAAGAGTACATTGGCAATCTAATCCTTTTTCATTTGGACAAAAACATACCTATTTCTACTTGAAAACAATTTAAAATAGTTGGTATAATGGTAATATAATATAGTATTACATGTTTATAAGGATAAGTGCAAATGAAAAAGTGTAGGTTGCTAGTGTACTCATTTTAATTTTTAAGGAGTACATTAGCAATTCCCTTTATTTATATATCTATTTTTATCTCTTATTTTGCCCATCTAGAAATCAGAGTATTACATTGTATTTCATGTGATATTGAATATTTTCCCATGGTTATACTTTTTGCTAGTTTTGTAGTATATCTTTTTGATAATGCATTCTCCATTTAATTTTGCAATTTTTGAACTGTTTACAGTCAATTTGAAGAGAAATTTGAAGAGATTAATAATGGTGCTGAGCCCCCCATGAGCTTACCTCTTGCTTCAAGTTCAGGGTCTAATGAGCAACAAGTGACGGAAATGGCTCCTGCTGAATGCAGTGGTAACGGACTTGAACCTCAAGCTCTCCTCTCTTCCCAGACATACTCTGAACTCAATGTTTCCCAAGAGTTTGCTGGGGGCATGATGAAGATTGTCCCTTCAGATGCCGATGTAAGTATATCATAATCAAGGTTTGGGGTTTCCCCTTGCTCTTCATACTGGGATTATGGGCTGCACTTGTGTAATTCCTTCGTATTGATTAAGTTCTTCTGATGTGTCCTGCAGTTGTTTTTTCAAACTTGGCATTTAATGATTGGTTAAGAGTGATTCCTTGATGGCATGCAGTGGTACTGCATTTGTTGCTAATATTTTTGGTAATTTTTGCAGAATGATGCTGATTATTGGCTTCTATCAGATGCTGAAGTTAGCATAACAGATATGTGGAGAACAGATTGTATCCTTTTTGTTTTCATGCCTTTCTTTGATTCTTTCTCCTTTTTCTTCATCTGTCTTATCTCTTATTTGAATTAATATGTATGATTCTTTAACTCCAGCATAACAGCTAATGTTGATTGGAGTGGAGTGGACATGCTTCATCCTGATTTTGAAATGATCTCGAGGCCACAAACTCCATCACCTGGACTTGCAGAAGCACCACCAACCGTAGCTAACCCTAATCAGAGGTGATTTTGATTTGCTTACTATCACTATGTTAGAAAGTATGGTCATTATCCTCTGGATTGAGGGGAAGCTACTTCAATAGAGTAGTGTCTAGCCTTGTGATTGTTGAGGATGCTGTCGGAGCTGTTGAGTCTTAAGCTGAGAGTTCTTACTACTCTTCAAGTAAATCATTGACCCTCTCTAGGGCACAAACTAGTTATAGTAGACATACTAAGCTCATGCAGAGTTTAGCTTGGAAATTAGGGAAGTTGCAAGGAGTATTATTACAGAAAATGTTGGTAATGCATCAAATGCAAGGTAGGTAGACTCACTGATCAGTATTGTTATTAGCCATATTTGAAGCGAGGCATTGTGGGCCCCCTTTTTTCCTTCTTGAAAATGAGAAGCTGCTATGCAGATGTTGACCACAAACAACTGTAAGGGTGCACTGGATATTGTTAGGACAGGACTGCCTTTATTATTCAATTATCATTTATGCTGATTGTAAACGTTTCAGTGTCTTCTGATAAAATTATGTCATTTAACATCCCAAATTGCTCCAATTTTTTTCAAACATTTTGTTCTATCTTTGAGATGTCTATTGCTTGAATGCTTAAACAGGTTGGAGCTTCTGATAGTTTCTAAAGAATCTGGGGATGGGACCATTCTGTTATTCATTTCAAGCATATCTAAGTAGTACACATTCGGAGGGGAGAGAGACATCTACATTACACATATAGCATCCTTGAGTCGGACAACCTGAAGTAGATCCATTAACATGTCGTGACATAAGAAAATGGTCTGGCACAACGCCAATCAAAGGTCCAACCCACAAATAATACTCCCCCTCAACTCAACCATAATTGAAGTTTCTTCTTAAATATTCTAAATCTCGACCTTCTTACTCTTACACAGACTATTAGATAGTAAGCAGTATAGAAGTCTTATATAGTAACACTGAGAGGTGTCCTCTGTGGGAATAACAATCTCCAAATCACGTTGAATTCACTTATTTTTTAACATTACACAACCACCTTGGCACTGCACTCCCTTTGTTTGCAATCTCGATCCACTAGGAAATACATTCATACAAACTACCACCAAATTTTCTAGACTCTTAATGAGGCATTCGCCTTCCAAATCGAGGACCATTTTCCTGAGAATTAAAGATGACCGGGGTAAAGAAATTTTGATTGATACAAACTATTAAGAGACTCAAGGCCACAGATCACGGGACCAACTTTAGCGGTCTTTCTTACACGTGATCTCAGTGCAAACTTATCCACCCTATGGAAACCTGTAAGACAATAGATGATAATTTCACTTGATATGGAGTTCTGAGTTTCAATTTGTTATAGTTGAGGACATGCGCAGAGCATGGCTTGTTGGATCTTGAAACCTGAAACCAGGTGTCTTAAGGTTATCCAAGTAGACTCTTGACTTAAACAGGCAAATCCAACGTCAAGCTCATATGCTATTTTGAATTCACATTATGGATCTTCCCTAATAGATTGGAGATAGCTAATGGGATTGGAACACCTCTTTCACTCGATGATGCTACCAAGAATTATATATGCGCGGGTTCTAGTAGATCAGGAAGAATTTAACACCCAAGAGGATTCTGTTATGACACACATTGAAGACAACCATACCCCACCTCTGATTACCACTGAGGCAGAAATCATTCCTGAAACACAATTGCCAATTGATGAAGGTTTTACTACACCAAGTGAGTTGCAGGTAGAAGACCATGGTGATCAAGGTCCTTTTAGTGAACTAGTAGGGTGATTTCATCCATGAGGAGCCGAGGCTTCATAAAAAATCAGAGACACATGATGGCTTCACTAGATGTGTTTCCAAGAGACAATGGAAATATAAGAATCAACTCGCTCAAAGTAAGAATTGGAACTACAAGACCAGTTCCAGAGGTGATACCAAACATAGTTTCTCAATAAGCTTATCTTTTGAAACATTAGAAGGTTTGACAATGCAAACTCAACTTTCCCTTAAAAACTTATGAAACATCCATAAGCCTAGCTTTTTTTCTTCCTAACTGAGCCTATGATTAGATTTGGTTAAATTAATCCAATGTTTTGGAAGAGTATTGGTTTAAGATTTTCTATAAATTTGAGGGACCCTAACATCCAAATTTGTGGAGTGGAAGCAAGAATTTAACCGTACAATCATATTTGCTTATAACCAGTGTACTGTTTTGTCAATCCATTATTGCAACACAATTTCATTTGTTGCAGTAGTTTATGCAAGTACAAGCTACCTTAGAAGGAGACGTCTTTGGGTTGATCTCCATTATTTGCAAAGTATTCACCTAGGTCCTTGAATTTTTCTTGGCGATTTCAATGATGTGTTGGCTCACGAGAAAATAGGTGGTAGGCTTCCTTTTCAACTATCTCGTGATGACTTCTTGGCTTGGACTAATGCCAAGTAGTTGACTCGCCTAGTCACAAGAGGTCCATAATACTCTTCATAACAAAAGAGTTGCTTTTGATTTCTTTTCTCGGATTTCTCAAAATTTTGACGAAAAATAAAAATTGTTTTCAATTTTCAGAAATGCATCTCTGAGCGCATCAATCTGTCATAAAATTGAATGCCAACAAGTGATACATTTCAATTTCACATAATTTTTGTCTGGAGTTGCATCTCCGAATATTTTTTTGATATATTTCGGATATGCATATCCGAAAGTAGTTCAAATTTAAACCAAACAAAAACAGTATGGGGCAAGATCTAGAAACAAAATCAACTTGATATTAAATTAAAACACTCAACATTATATAGATAGTTGTTAACATAAATTTAACATTACATATCGTTATAAGTAGGTAGTTAGGGAGTTTGTAACATATTGATAATATCGTCGATGAATTTTCAATCTTCACATCCACTTCAATTGAACCCTTTGATGAATAACGGTAAAATGTACTGCACATGACCTGTAAATCTTCATCTGTCTTCAGTTCAAAGTTGGTAGAGTGTATCTTTCCTTCGCTGTCAAGTGATGGTGAATGATACTTAAACTTGACAACTCTCAGATTTTTTTGGATATCGCAAGAGAGTATTCAGTTAGGTTTTCAGATCAACAAGAAGTATGTCGCCACAAATCTGAAATTGAAGTGGGAGAGTTTTGCGCCATTGAAATACACAAATGTAAGGTGGGGATATGCATTCATTCTTTGATTGTTGTGTGTTTTATAGAAAACATGGATTGATAGACACCTTATTTATACAAGTATTGGGTCACTTTGGACCTTAATAACCTTATCATGGCATCCAATCACTTTTTGGAGATGCATCTCCGGTTAAACTCTGTTTTTTTAATGAAAAAGGGTGTTTACGAATATGCATATTAAAAAAGTCTCCTGATTGTTTTTTAATATGTATGAGGTTTATTCGAATATACACAAATGTAAGGTGGGAATATGCATTCATTCTTTGGTTGTTGTGTGTGTTATAGAAAACATGGATTGATAGACACCTTACTTATACAAGTATTGGGTCACTTTGGACCTTAATAACCTTATCATGGCATCCAATCACTTTTTGGAGATGCATCTCCGGTTAAACCCAGTTTTTTTAATGAAAAAAGGTGTTTACGGATATGCATATTCAAAAAGTCTCCTAATTGTTTTTTTAATATGTATGAGGTTTATTTGAATATACATATCCGAAATTTACACTAAACTAGAATCAAACCAGAACCTGTGTATCCAAAAAAAAAATGCAAACCATAAAATTTGTGAACTGAAACAATTTCCATTAACACCATCATTGTTGAATATATATTACTTATGTATTAAATCGTATCAAGATTACATCGTTTACGACTATATATTAAAAAAAGTGTATCGATTATAATCCAAAATATCTTTAAAGATGCATCACCGCATAAATCTACTATTGGTTCCTCCTTCAACTTTTCTTTATTTGAGTCTCTTTCAAACTTGCTCAATTTGGTGAACTCTTCCATCCATTTCAAGAAATGATCTGACCAAGTTTCCATCTCTTTTATAGAAGGCTGAATGGTCATTTCCATCTCTTTCAGGATATGCAATCTTCCTCCGTTGCTCTTTGATATGTAATTTCATGGTGTCACTAGCTTTCGAAAATCTAGCTTGGACAATTTCTCACTTGGTTGTGATAGTTATACCTACTTTACCATCTTTCGTCATGCCATCGTCATCAAACTGAAGCCTTTTTCAGTGAGTGCACACTTCGTCGATACATATTAGGGCATAAAGCTTCATTTTTTAGAAATGAGACAAGCACATGGAATACCGTAAGTCTTCTTAAGCGTGCATCCACATTTTGAACTATCAGAGCCTATCTGCTTGCTTCGCTTCATGAAAAATGAAATTCAATCCCGCCCGAGATACGTTGTCTACCAACTTTGGATAAAGTGTTTTTTTGAATATGTGTTCTAACACGGTAATGCCCAGACCAAAAGTTATTTGTATTTTATTATGTTGGTTTTTGAGCATTTGGTTCACGACGTCACACTCTCTACAAAAATCACCCTTACCATCACCTAACCATTTCTTCATGGCGAATGTGAAGATTCAACTCTGTTAGTTGTTGTATTGCCAATGTGTCTAACCTGACCGGTCCAGACACAAAAAACCTCTTACTTCACTTGGTCTAGAATAGTAATTTGAATGTATTTCAAAAAATCTAGATATCTGACACACGTTCCTAAAATGAATTACAGATGCAACATACAAATATTATGCAAATGAGTTTAATATGCCACATACATCCATTATCTTTTCCAACACCACACTAAGTTTGACCATTTTCCCCTCTTCACCCTTGATTTGTTTGGTGCCTACTGCCGGTTTGGGCCGACTCCTCACATTTTTTATAAGATTAATGTAAGCTATGAGGTATGAAATGAACGAACTTTACCTTAAATTGCAACTTCTTTGACTCCCTTTGATGTGATAAAACATAAGTACGATGATTTGGAGTCGAAAAGTTGATTGGAAATGATTTTTTAAAAGGGTTTTGGGTTA